AAGAGATACTATAGCATTAACTACATACTGAGTATCAGAAAATAAATTAAATACAGAATCTTTAAACATCACAAAAGCTTGTAAAACTGCATTAAGCTCTACCTTTTGAGCTGATTGTTTGGGTACTAACAATGTAAAAGTTTGATCAGGGGTAACTCCTGCTGCTGTACCATTATTTGACCCATCAGTGAATATATTTGGAGCATTCATGATAGGTGTTTTTCTTGTCATTTTTGGAAAAATTACAGGATGCAATGACCAAAAAGACAATAAAGGATTAGATGGTAAGTGGTTATCAAATGAAACATTAGATTTACACATGATTATTGCCCAAGTATTTAACTCATTAGCTAACTCATCAATTTGATTCATAGTATATGGAGTAATAATTTTATTGGGAGAAATTCCAAACACTCCCTTTGCTGCTTTTATTCCTTTGAGTATTAATTGTCCTACAGCCTCAGGATACCTAGTAAGAATAGTGTTAGGAGAATAAGATAAATGTATCCATAATAATGGACCTTCTTGCCAAAATACTCCTGTAGGAATATTTTTTGTTGGTAGTACAATAAATAATAAAGGCAAACTTATATCAATTCTATCCAAATGCATATTTTCCATATATGTTTCAATGATTTTTAATGCCTTTCTTGCTTCAGGCGTTAACATTCGGGGTGAATTTGGATCTGATGGACCTTTTAGGATATCAAATAAAGGTCCCAACTCTCCTGTTGGTATACCTAAATAAGGCCTTATCCAATTTATGTCTCCTAATAACTTTTGAAAGTCATTAAGTGATTTGAGTTGATCTACTCGTATTTGAATTTTTGGTGGACGGACCATGGTTGAGGATAATAGAACTCCTAAATAATTAATTGGAAAATTTAATTGTACTTTATCTATTGCTATCTCTAGATTATAATTTTTTAATAAGTTTGTAAGTGTGGCATAACATTCTAGCAATGTGTTTTTATCTTTGTGTGCTAATAATACATCATCCATATAGTGAAATATTTATAGTTCAGGATTTTGATTTCTAAGTGGCTGGATTACTTTGTTAACATAAATTTGACACATAGTTGGGCTGTTAGCCATCCCTTGAGGGAGTACTTTCCATTCATATCTCTGATCAGGACCTTCATGATTCAGTGCAGGGATAGTAAATGCAAAACGTGGACTATCCTCAGGATGAATTGGAATTGAAAAAAAAAAATCTTTAATATCTATAACTAAAACATACCAGGTTTTTGGCAAAGCAGACAACTGAGGAATCCCTGATTGAGCAGGTCCCATAATAACCATCTCATTATTAATGGCTCTTAAATCTTGCAATAATCTCCATTTACCAGATTTCTTTTTGATGACAAAAATGGGAGTATTATGGGAGATACAGAAGGTTGTATATGTCCTTCTGCTAATTGTTGTTTGACCAGGTCATGGGCTGCTTGTATCTTTTCTTTAGTCAGGGGCCACTGAGGAACCCATACTGGTCTTTCTGATTTCCAAGTAATTTTTATTGTCTCAGTGGCCCTTTCTGAAAATCCAACCCATGTCTGTCTGTTCCTTGATCTATTTGTATTGGTGCTGCTATACCTTGTTCTTGTTTTTCTAATCTTTTTCCTTTCCTAAAACCTTGTCTAGTCATAATAGTGGGTGCATTTTGGTTGATGTTATTTGTTAATGTCAAACCTAATTGATCTAGGACATCTCGTCCCCATAAATTTACGGGAAGATGATCCAATACATATGGCTGTATAGTTCCTTCACATCCTTCAGGATCCTTCCAATCTAATACCATTGCACTTCTATGGGGATTAGTCGCCACTCCTAGGCCTCGAAGCGTTTGAGTGGCTTGTTGTAATGGCCAATGTTTTGGCCATTCTTGACGAGAGATGATGCTAAGGTCTGCACCTGTATCCAGTAGCCCATTAAATTCATGTCCTTGAATATTTAGTTTTAGCATGGGGCGAGAATCTAAATTTAAAGAAAGCATAGCCCAATCTACACCTGTGGAGCCTAATCCCTTGGAACCTCTTTCTACAGTACGACTGGAAAATTTATCATGTAGGCTGGGTATTATTAGTAACTGTGCTATTCTATCTCCTGGTGAAATTACTGATATACCCTTTGGAGAACTGGCTATAATTTTTATTTCACCTTCATAATCGGGATCAATTACCCCAGGACTTATCATAAGTCCTTTTAGAGTAGAAGAGCTGCGTCCCAATAATAAGCCTACTGTTCCTTTGGGAAGAGGTCCTTTCACCCCTGTGGGAATGATTTGAACTCCCATCTCTGGAGTTAGTACTGCTCTGGCGGAGGCGCAGATGTCCAACCCTGCGCTCCCTCTGGTTTGTCTGATGAGGGATCTGATGGACAATGTGTCCTGGGCACTACCCTGATGGGGTTGCTGGGTTCCTCCAGTGCTCCGTATATTTGTGGTTTTGGGCCCCGGAGCATTGGGCCCCCCTGTCCATTTTTTGGCAATGGAGCCCAATGCCTTTCTCCACGATATCGTGGATAAACACCTGGTCCTTGTTCGTTTTTTGATAATGGAGTACCCTCTATGGTGGTTTGAGAACGGCATTCATTAGCCCAATGTCTCCCTCTACGGCATCGTGGGCAAATACCTGGTATTCTACTCCTTTGATACCTAGTTTTGTTAAACCCTCCTCCAATGGGGCAATTCCTTTTAAAATGTCCTGTTTGTTCACAATTGTAGCATGTTCTTGGCCTGGCATCTAAAGCCTGTTTTACTGCAGCTGCCACAATTTGCCCTTGTTCATTAATGTCTCTGGCATCTAAAGCCTGTTTTACTGCAGCTGCCACGACTTGCTCTTGTTCATTAATGTCTCTACATAATTTAATATATGTGTTTAAATCTTCATGTTTCCATGGTCTAATGATATCTCTGCACCAACGATTCGCTTGCTCATAAGCCAGGTGTTTTAGTAATGGCATTGCTTGTTCTGTATTCCCAAAAACTCTGGTAGCTGTTTGAATAAGCCTATCTACAAATTCAGCATAAGGTTCATTAGCTCCTTGTATTACCTTAGATAATTGACCTTGTAAACCTCCATGTCCTTGTAAAGTCTTCCATGCCTTAATTGCATCTGCAGCAATTTGTGCGTATACGCCAGGATCATATGCAATTTGTTGCTGCTGATCCTCATAAGGTCCCTTTCCTAACAACATATCTAGATTTCTCTGAGGATAGCCAGCTGCTGCATTTCGCCTAGCCGTCTCCTTGCAAAATTCCTCATTGGAATACCTTCTATAACAGGTATTGTCCTCCATTTAGCACAGCTTTACACATATTAGCCCAATCTGCTGGCGTCATGTTCAAGTTAATGGATTCGACCAAGCTTACAGTGAAGGGTGCTTGAGGACCATAGGTTGTTACAGCCTCTTTTAGCTGCTTCACTGTTTTGAAATTTAAAACTTGGTAAAATCGCTGCCCTCCTGCCTCAAATACAGGGCATGTTAATATTTGAGACCTTGTCTCAGGATCCCAACTATCAACTGCGGGGGTTGGGGGCCTCCCAGCATATGGAGGTGGCGCTGTTGGTTGGACACTTTCGCCCTCTGGTGATAGAAAGGTGTTAGTAGCAGTCTCCTGTAGAGGTGGTGCTGTTGGTTGGACACTTACACCCTCTGGTGATAGAAAGGTGTTAGTAGCAGTCTCCTGTTGTAACTTTCCCCCTGATGGCTTTTTCTGTTTTACACTTTCTTTCTCTGTCTGACTAGCTTGAGAGGCCTTCTCTTTTACTTGAATCATTATGTCTTCTCCTTCCTCTACCATTGTCTGAACTGAAGGCTTTGGACTAAGCAAACAAGATACGAATGTCCACAATGGCAATGTGCCAACTGGCAGAGTCCCTGGGCTTTTCTTTTCTACTCTTTTTAAATCTTCACCATGATGGTTCCATTGTGATATATTTAACAACTCCTCCTTAAAAAGCCATGGGCTACATTTCTGTATTGTATCAACGTATGCCCTGACTGCTCTTGATTTTACTGGGATGCCTCCTTCCTCTAACAATTTACTTAACACTCTTTCAGTTTGTTTTTTACTAATTTCTGATCCCATATTTCTACTATAATACAACCCAACAAGATGACGCCAAACAAAACCGAGACAGAATGAAATAAAAAGGGAACAACAAAAAGTCATTATAGCCTTTCTATCCTCCTGACATGTGCATCCGTCCTTTCTCCCTATCTGTTCCTCAGACGTAAATAGTTTTTCCTCAGATGTGAGCGGTTTTTCTTCCGTCTCACTCATCTCCAGGGACAGGCAACTTAAAACAAAAGTGAAGCAAAATAAAAGAGGAATCTTAAAATGGCTACCCATCCTCTCGCCCTGCCCTCAGGGGCGAGCAGTTTCACTTACCCTCAGTCGCTCCCCGTGCGAGCCACCAAATGCCGCAGTCTGGCTGGGCACAATCAGGAGCCACTTGTCAAAAGAAACTAACTTTATTTTTAGAACCACACACGACAAACAAAATAGTCTCTCAGGAAAAACCCTCAGAGCCTCAACTGCCACCACCGGCTTTCCCCAAGCCTCTCTCTCCCACACAAGCTTCTCTCCACCTCCCACAATCCTCCTGCTCTTGAGGCCGATTGGCTGGGTCACGTGGGCGGAGCCAAAAAAGTCCCCCAATGAGCAGCTCCGTGGTCTGAAAGGGCAGGGAAACAGTCCAATGAGCATCACCGCAGAGGAGCCAATCAGCTAGATGTTGCTGGGGCCGAGGAGCCAATCAGCTAGATGTTGCTGGGGCCGCTGTGAGCCAATCATCAGCCAGCAGCTGGAAGTTTGCTGGCAGCTGGAAGTTTGCTGGGGCCCCTTTGGCTGTGGCTCTCAACACCTGGGGCCTTCCAGTAGCACCAAGAGGCTGATGACCCATGCGGTGGGTTCAGCTTTTGAGCAGGGAAGGGAGGGGACTGGGTGGCTGGTCTGTAACTGGTTACTGCTAAATTATGGTCACTTTTCATTACAGCTTGGGAAACAAAAGAAAAAGTATATGCCATACAACCACCAGCACAAATACTTCTTCCTGAGTGAGTGTCTTCACCCACCACGGGGAGCTGCCTTGGGTGGGGGGCTGCTGTGGGGTGTGAGGAGGAAACAGCTCTCGATGATGGCATTAAAGTATTAAAGTTAAGGAAAGGGGCTGGGGATACAGCTCCGCTGGTAGAGTGCTTGCCTTACATGCACAAGGCTCCAAGTTTAATCCCCAGCACCACCACCCAAAAAAAAAAAAAAAAAAAAAGAATACAATCCAGGAAAGGGGCTGGAGCAAGTACCCACCCTGCCCCTGTCACTCCCTGCCTGGAACTGTTGCCCTTCCACTGAGCAGAGTCAGCAGGCTAACAATATTTGACTAGAGGTCATTTGTGTTGGGGGCAAATTAGCTCTTTCCATGAGGACACCTAGTGGTTAGTTTCAGCCCTCCGGATGAGCTTTAAACCTTACCTTAAACCTTGTCAGAGACCCAGGTCAAGATGATCTGGTGGGGCCCTGTCTGACCCATAGGGGACCAAATGTCCTCATAGTTGTGGGAGGATGGGACCCGAGGAGGACTGTGAGCTGAGCAAAGATGCTGTGGCTGCATACTCTCTAGAGCTGCTGCATCCATCTTGTTTGGAAGTCTGTTCCAGATGGCCCCAAATAATGAGCCTTAAAACTCCTTTGAATTTTCAGAATTTTAAAGGGAGGGAGGGCAGGGATCAGTGTGAAGGCATTTATCCTGATTGCCTGTTAGCAACTGTCCCTAGCAGAGAAAGGAGGGTGCAGCGGACTTGTGGGAGAAGGAATTTCAAAATCCAAGGCACATCAAGGAGTCCTGGATGGGCATGCGACGCATGGGTTAGAGCAGCATCAGATGCTGCAGGGAGGGGACATGGGAAGGGAATGGGGCAGTGCGTAGAATGGGAACCACTTCTGCAACTGCCAGTTTTCTTTCAAAAGTAGCTCCTTGCCTCTGCCTGTAGTTGACCTCCAGGGCTTCAGATCAGGGCAGCACAACCCAGGTCGCTAGTCCAAGGAAGTGAACCTCAGCCTATGAAGGGTCAGAGGATCACATGCGTGTGCACACACACACATTTTCCTGTCCCTGCCCCTTCCCTTGACGTGCACAGTGGAGCAACCAAGAACTTGGCAGATGACTATGGGTGCAGAGCTTGGCCAAGCAGCACAGGGGCACTGGGGGTATTAGCAGTGCCCTTTAAAAGGTGTGGGAGCACAGCATGCTCTGGGCCTGGGTTTTGAGTTTTAACCCTGGAAAAAGATGGCCCTCCTACCCCTCCCCTTCCCTGGCCTCCTTTTGGGAGTGGCTTTCTCCAGGTGGGCATTCGTGCCTACCTTCCTTCAGTGCCTGCTGGTGTGGGGCCAGCTGAGGAGTGCTAAGGCAGCTGGAGGAGCAACCTGAGGGGACGGGCAGGGGCAGCCCCGTGCTGGGGACCATTTCTTAATAAACCCTCTGTGGCTGTCCCACGGCTCACACCTCCTTCCTGTCTTTTTCCTCCCAGTCGGGCCCCCAGCCTTGCTGCCACTGTACTTCCAGTGGTACATTTTCTATTTTGTTATCCAGCGGAAGAAGTGGGTGGTAAGTATCCACGGCCAAGAGTCCCATGTCCTGTGTTCTCCAGCACCTGGTGGGGGAAAGGGGTTCTCCAGGGGGAATAAACTCCAGGCCCAACTTAGAACAAAATAACAGGACAAGGTATGATGCTCCCTGTCCCTAGACAGAGGAAGGGATCTGGGCGCACTCAGCAGGACCCCGCCTCCTGGGCCTGGCTTCATGCAGCCAGTGTGCCCCCAGTCCCCTGTGCTGGGGGAGGCGATGGGAGCCAGTCCTTCCTCTCAGGGAACCTTCAGTGAGGCAGGGTATGATTGATACCAGGAAAGAAGTACAGGCAGAAGCAGCTCTGGGCACTCCACAAGGCCTGCCTGTGTCTGCTTTGTAAAGTCACCTTTCTAGCTGGCCTCCACGGATGGGTGGAGTTGGCAGACAGAGGTGAGGCAGGGGATGAAGACCAGAGCACAGAAGCTGGGAGGTAGGGGTGAGTTTGGCCAGGCGTAGCGGAGGACTCCGGCACCAGGGAGGAGTACTGGGCTTGGTTCACTGCGCAGAAAAGGGCAGGAGCTTTGACCAGGGCACTGGGGTGCACAGAACCCTGGTCTTGGAAATTCATTTGGCAGCATTTAGGTAGGTTGGGAGGTGCTAGAGGCAGGGAGACTCGTGGGGCCCTGAGAAGGGACAGGCTAGGAGGGCTGGGAGTGCTACCAGCACTGGTACTAATTGTGTAGGGTGGGGCCACTGAGAGGAAAAGCTGAGGACGGCCAGGTTCCCCGGGTGGCTGAGGCCGCAGCAGGCGGAGGAGGGGAGCGGGGAGGGGGCCAGAGCGGCCGTGGCAGCGCTGCTCTGCCATTCACACTGCAGGACCTGGCTTGGATGGTCACCTTCTACACCCGCATCTTCCTCTCGTACGTGCCGTTGCTGGGGCTGAAAGGCTTCCTGGGCCTTTTCTTCATCGTCAGGTAGTGTGGCGGGGTGTAGGGACTGGCACAGGGAAGCACAAATGCTGGGTCTGGGGACCGCGCTGGGGGTCTCGGGCAGCAGGAGCTCTCTCAGGAGTTGACCCGGGACAGTGCACAAGCTGGCACTGTGACTGAGGAAGAGGAAGACTGCGCTCTGCTGACTGACTGTGTGCCACATCCAACAGGTTCCTGGAGAGCAACTGGTTTGTGTGGGTCACACAGATGAACCACATCCCCATGCACATTGATCACGACCGGAACATGGACTGGGTGTCCACCCAGGTAAGGGACCATCATCTGGAAGACCCAGGCATAACACAACTAATGAAAAGGGTGGAGGGAAGATGGTAACAGCAAAAAATAAGTCCCCCAAGGTACCCCCACTCATTCGCTTGAGGCTTCTCTCCTGCCGTAATGTGAAGGGAGGGACCAGGGACAGTCTAACCTGCCCTCTTTAGCTAGCCTGACCTGGGGCGGGGTGGGCTGGCCTTTTGGCTCTAGACATGCTCCCGACCTCCTCCTCCAGCTCCAGGCAACATGCAATGTCCACAAGTCTGCCTTCAACGACTGGTTCAGCGGGCACCTCAACTTCCAGATCGAGCACCAGTGAGTCAGGAGCCCCAGGAAGCAGGGCGGGAAGGACCTGGGGTGGGGGTGGGGGGCGACGACGACAGGAAGGGCAGAAGCCACTGACTTCACTGACTTTCCCACTCTCCCTGAAGCCTTTTCCCCACGATGCCCCGGCACAACTACCACAAAGTGGCACCCCTGGTGCAGTCGCTGTGTGCCAAGCACGGTATAGAGTACCAGTCCAAGCCCCTGCTCTCAGCCTTTGCCGACATTGTCTAGTGAGTATCTGAGCCCTGGGGGTTGGCTGTTGGGAGGGGAGGGCAGGGCAGTGGGAATGGTGGTGCCCTGTGGGGTGGCGAGCAATGGGAACATTTCCCTGTCACCTGGGATAGAGGAGGTCACCACGGCACAGGCAGGGCACTGTGTGGCCAGGTCAGGCCCTTATTCTCACTGGAGTTCCCCTCAGCGCTGTGCCCAGGCCAGCTTCCTCAGAAGCAGAAGGGCGGAAAGACCTGTCTGTAAGACCTGCCCCTCCATCTCTGCTTGGCTCACTGGCCCATCTCCCTCACCGTCCACTCTTGTGTCACCCTGCAGCTCACTGAAGGAGTCTGGGCAGCTCTGGCTGGATGCCTACCTTCACCAGTAAGGACAGCGCCTCCCTGCTCCATCTGCAAGAGGAGAGGGTGACTCTGGAGCCAAAGCAGAGGGGAGCTCAAGGGACGATGCCACTACATTCCAACGTTCAGAGCGGGGAGGGTTAGGGGACATAAAAGTCAGGCTCCAACTTTCCCCTTTACCTTCCAGATACACATCTAATCCCCTAAGAAGGGTGTGGGGACAAGCAAGTCCCCAGAAGGGGAGGAGCTGTTGGAGCCAGTATGTGAATCAGTTCTTGTTTCATTTTTCTACTTTGGCAGATGAACATTGGAGAACACTGGGTGAGCCCACATCAGGCAGCAGCACACTCCCTGGTCCACTTGTCAGTGATGTCGCTTGCTAACCTCTGGGAGGGAGCAGCTGACCACTTTGAGAAAGATCTAGAAGGGAAGCATTCATGCACAGAATCCTGGGGCTTAGCACAAACTGCCTGCCGTGGAGTTCAGCTTCCACATCTGCCCTTGCTGTTGGGAGAGACTGTTTTCCAGTTTCAAAAGCAGCCAAGGCCAAGATTGTGGCTTTAGTGACATTTGGCCTTGAAGGATCTTGGGGCCACTGGTTTTGGTCCCATGTTCTATTCAAGGTCCAGAGGGAACATTAAGTAGAGTTGCTGGCCATCAAAAATCACTTCTTTTTGACTCACTTCCAACCCTCCCACCCCAAGGAAAAAACAGAACTCCCAAGACTAGGGGCTTGCTTCTTGTCAGCCAGCAAGCAAAGGCCTGACTTCCTTCTCCCTAGAAATAAATGGGGCTCCCAGCGGCTTCCCTTTGTTTCGCTACTTGTAGTTCCAAGTTTAATAGCAATTGGTGAGCCCAAGTGATTATGAAGTTTCAGTCATGAAGAGTCTAAGGGCTTTAAGTAGAAACAGATTTTCTATACCCTAAATTATGTAACAGCATTTTCTAGGAGTAATGGGTTACACTAATCACTTCACAGTTCTAAATCCAAAATAGGAAAGTTGGAAATACACAATTTTGTGGTCATCATTGCTGTAGCTAGGCACTTCCTCCACCCTTATTCATCTGGAGACCAGATAGGGATTGAGGAATACCTCTTAGGAAGCCCATCAGTCTAACGCTGATATGCCATTTTTTGATCTTCTGGTTTGTGAGACAGTTTAACTCATGTTTCCAGAGAACAAACAGGAACACGCTCAAGAAGTCTTGCCGAAGGCCTGTCGCCAGCACTCACACCCTCTTCCTCCCCAAGCCTGTGGCCAGTCAGGCCCTCGTTCTCTCTGAAGTTCCCCTCAGTGCTGAGGCTTGGTCTAGATCCCACAGTCCAGCCAGGACATAATTTCTTTAGCTCTTCAACAGCATCTACCTAAAGTGTATGGAACATTTGGACACTGGGAGAAGAGAATCTCAAACAGGCAGCTGAGATGAGGGTGGCGAGGTTGGCAGGGCTACTTAGGTTTGTCAGGTGCTGGGGACAGCGGGTCACAGGGGTTCAGGCCTTTTCCTTTGGGCCCTGAGAGCCTGGTTTAAATCCTGGGCAGGAAAATCAGAAGCAGAATGGAAGAGTTGGCTTTCACTGGCTCCCTCACTCCAGAATAGGTGCTGATCCCTCCCCCTTGAGGTATGGGTGTGATATCACCAGCCTATCTAGCCAACTGGCTTTGGGCCCAGTCTGAGCAAATACCAGTGAACTTTATTATGCCAAGACCAGGTCCTCAAAGCACCTGTACCACCATGGCCTTTTCTCAGCCCATACCATTGTGGCCTCACGGGGACACAGGGTGATAAAAGATACAATGTTATAGTATTAAAGCAAGTGACCTCAAACCCCACTGACAGACGAGAAAACAGGCTTACAGAGGAAAGGTTGCCTCTGGTCACAGATCATGGCAGAATATGTGAACTCACTTTTTCAAACTCCAACTCATGTTTATCTTTTTGTTATTTTTATCGTTCTACTACCAGGCTGGAGGCATTTTCTTTAATTGGGCTCAGTGTCGGTATCTTTTTGTATACCAACGTTAGCACAGTAACTGATGAAGTAAAACTGAAAAATAAAGTTGATTTTGACCAAATGAAGGCTATTCATTATAACCCACAGTACTTGTCTATGTGTGTGCACAGGATTCTCTGGTGACGGTGCACCTGTGTCCTCTTAACTTTTGGAACATGAGTCACTGCAGACTCCCTCTGTATAATCCTCTAGGGAACAGGAAGGAGCATCAGGACTCTCCAGGTAATAAGCAGGCAGGGTGGTCCATGGCAAGGAAAAGCAAAGCCAATTCTTTCCCATATGCGGAGGCCCTGCCCGGTTGTCTACATCACTTCCTCCTCATGAGACAATGTCTCCACCCTACTGTCCTCTAGTTTTCCATTTTGACTCATTTAACCCTTCACTTTGTTTTAGTGCCTACATCTTTGCAAGCACAATACCTCAGACCTAGACAGCAGGGCAATATCTGCACCCTTCATCCTACTGAAACAGTTCTAAGCAAAAACGTCTGCAGACGAAAGATTTTTCCCTGTAGCGTGCCCATGCAAAATTAGATTTATGAACTTCTAGAAAAGACCAAGCAACAAATTTAAAAAAACAAGCACAAGCCAGGTGTGGTGGTGCATGGCATGGTAAATAGCTAGAAGGGAGGATCAAAAGTTGAGGTCAGGCTCAACAATTTAGCAAGACCTGTCTCAAAAAAATTTTAAAAAGGATAGGATATAGTTCAGTGGTAAAGTGCCCCTGGGTTCCATCTCCAATATCAAACAAGGAAAGCCTACCACCATGTATTTGACCTCCACAGGAAATAGCCCATAGTAGAAATGCTGCAGAGATGATCAGTCCTAAGAAGCTTTAGCACCTCTAGGCCCCAACAGCGTGACTGCAAGTTTTGAATCAAATTACCTGACTTAAAGTGGAGCTCCAGTAAGTCATGGCTTGGTTCAATCTGGGAAAATGAGTTTCATTCATCAAATACTGGAGTAGAGCAGGGAACAAAACTAAGTTCCCTGTCCTCACAAGTTTCTACATCAGTGGTTTTCAGAGAGTTCCCTTGTTATGGAGCCATTGCTGGGGACACTGTCTCTTACCTGTTTCAATCAGAGCTCTTATATCCTGAGATTTCACTTAAGATTTTGCTTGTAATATAGCTTGTTCCATTAGAAATTTGAAAAACAACAGTATTTAGTCTCTACCTGTCTAACCTGTCAAATATTTTCAATTTAAATTTCAGTTATTTATATGTTCTTGTTAACTTCAAATGGCCTTGATAGGAATGCTAAAAAGATCAGAAGCTCAACAGGATAGCTCTCCCCAAGCACTACCAGGATTATAAAACTTTCAAACATTCAACTCTATAAGAAAAGAGCAACTTCAATTTGATGTCATAAAGGAAGAAGAATGTGGTTTCTGAATGGCAGCCCTCATAATCTACAATCTGGCAAAGTAAATACTTGGTTGTTATGAGGTAGTTGATCTAAACTGCAAGCCTTTCTCAAAGGAGCTCCTTTATCTCACAGACTAGGTGGAACATCAGAAATTCATTCAATTTATTAAAACAACTTTCCCAGCAAAATAAGCTAGGCATCTGAGCTGCTAGCTATTATACTGCGCATGGTGCCCTCTTGTGGCCAGTTGCAAAACACCTGAGAGTGCAAAGAACATTATAGTCTACCTGGAGCATGGAGCGCTGGATATTTTCAAATGTTCTCAAAGAACATCACATTCTGGATACCTACACAATTTTATTGACTTTTTTCTCTTCATATTTTAAAAATAAAAACAGCACACGAAAACCAGTGACTTATCCCAAAAATCTCAATTCTGTTGTTGCCCCAGAAAGGCCAAAAGAATATCATCATCTTATTCCTCTGAAAAACCACTGTAATACATTGCAATTTAAAGTTTCTGCCCACCACAAGACACAGCCAGGAATCAAACCCTTCCTGCCAAAGTGCAGGGACTCCTGCTTCTTCTCATTCTTTTTTCTCAATAGCTCTTCCCATCTGCTGAACTTGCATCTTCCTGATGGCTCTTCTTCAGGGTGGGTCAAGGCTGAACCAGGACGTACAGTCTGGATCAGCCCCATAAGCCCCAGTTGGCCAGCCAGGAAATCATTTCCATGCAGTTCGGTTCACCACTTTCATCTCTGTCTTCCTTCTTCAAAACTCTTTGCTATCACTTTCATGTAACAATGGATCCAGTGTCCAGTAAACTGCCTGAGAAGTGGTTTGAGCCTGACACTTTCCTGAGCTAAAAAAGAGAAAACAAAGCACTTCTGTGGCCCACCTGCCATAAGATCAAGTAAAAAAGGGAAAAAGCCTACAGAGAAAGGTAGCACTAGAATAACAATGCATCCCTCCCAGCCCTGCGGAGGTTTCTCTAGCTCTAGCTTGAGGGTTAAGGATCAAGAAGGGACAATGGAGTGAAGCACATTTATTTTCCCCTCTTGAACTTCCCTGCTGCCCCAGTCTTTGCCTTCTTCTTAGCGGATCCCTTGGGTTCTGGCTCCTTGCGCTTGGCTGAGGACAGAGAGCCAGTCACCTTAAAGAAATCATCCAGACGGCCCTGCGTGCTGCCTTGGCGGCTCTTACTCAGTCGCTTGACGCCACTGCGGATTCGCTCCTCAGAGAACTGCTTTTCACCACACATGAACTTGACGAGCTCCTCTTCATTTGGCTCACTCCACTTCAGCTCCACAGACTCTGGGTCTAGCACCTCCGGCTCCAGGAAGAGCTGCTGGGCCTCCTTGTGGAGCCAATTTTCTGGCACAGGGTACTTATTGGGGTCAAGTCCCCGCACGATCTCCTCGATGCTCTTGTGCTTCTGGATGAGGTCCACAGCTCGCTTGGGCCCAATGCCCCGGATACTCTCACAGTAGTCACTACCCAGGAGAATGCAAAGATCCACAAACTGCTCCTGGTTCAGACCTAGCTCCTGCAGAATCCGGCTCAGGTGGAACTCCTGGATGGGCAGTTTCTTGGCCTCACTGGCTGTCAGATGTCGCATCAGCACAGGGCTGCCGAAGGTAAGGCAGTCCATGTCCTCGGTGGCTGCAGCATAGACTTTGCCAGCTTTCACCAGGGCGGCACAGCTGGCCTCTGCCTCGCTGGGTGCATCAAGGAACGGGATGCCCATGAGGCTCAGCAGGTGTTTGCACTCATCATTGTGCTGCTTAGTGACCTTCACTAGCCGCTTGGTGAATTTTTCCACCTCTTCCTCCACCCCAGCAGCCTGAGCCTGCTGCAGCTGCTTCTCTGCCTCAGCACGCCGCTCACTGCGTTTGGCCAGCTCACCTGACTTGAGCTGTGGCGGTTTCCCATCAAAGACATACACAGGCTTGATGCCATTCTCCATCATGCGGATGGTGCGGTAGAACATGCCCATCAGGTGACTGGTGGTCTCACCTTCTTCATTCTGTAGCACATCCCCACCCTGGCGAACTGCAATCAGGAACTGATAAATGCTCATGGAGGCATCAATGGCCACCTTTCGGCCAAAGTAGCTCTTGATGTCATTCTCCCGGATGGCACTGGGGGCCACATCAGCAATTAGTTTGGCCAGGCCTTGAATTCCCATGGCAATATGGAAGAGAGGTGGCTAAAAAGAGTTAAGAGAAAGAGAAACCTTAAGGATGCAAAGGATTATCATTGGTGCTATCTCACCAACATCATATCTAATCAAATTTAGCCCAAAGTACGGAAACCAAGTCAGCACAACAGAAGATGAAATGAGTAAGACATGATTCCTTCGTTCTCAAAAAATGTACAGTTTAGCAGTTCATTCAATTTACAGTTCATTCAATTAATACTAAGTCTTACTTACAGGAACTCAGATACTGTGGATGTTCTTGAGGGACTAAAAAGTTTTGTGGATAAGAAATGGTATAATTCATCACCCCCCCCAAAAAAAGACCAAAACATGTGTTTCAACAAGGACCATGGAAGGCCTGAGGACAGCACTTGGCTCAGCGTGAGGAATCCAGAATGGCAGAACTGAGCCCTAAAGAACAGGCAAATATCTGCTAAGCAAATATATCTTATAAGTGAATTGTTGTTTCTCTGGAGAATTCTGATAAAGCACTCTTGAAACACTGGCAAGCAAAACGTAACTGAATGGGGGAAAGGTGAACAACTAACATGCTGCTTTAATTTTCCTTCTGCATCCCCTTTAGTATGTAAGTTTCTAACTTGTTTGTTTTTGCTACTGGGAACTGAAGCCAGGGATGCTTAACCTCTGAGCCACACCCCAGCCCCTTTTATATCTATTTTGAGACAGGGTCTATGTTGCTTAGGGCCTTGCTAAAATTGCTGAGATTGGCTTTGAACCCACAATCCTCCTGTCCCAGCCTCCTGAGCGACTTGCATTACAGGCATGTGCCACTGTGCAAAGCAAGAGTTTCTACTTTTTTCAGGATGTTGCTGGGAGCTTAAGACTTCCCCTTTGTATTTTCGCTCTACCACTAAGTCTAAAATGTAAACACTGTGGCTCTTACCCACCCCAGGGCCTAAGTTAGAGGCTAGCAGGCTGTAATTAATAGGCCCAGTACTGGACTTCTGTGGTTCAAATCTTTCCTAGGGGGCTGGGGTTGTGGCTCAGAGGTAGAGCACTCACCTAGTATGTGTGGGCCACTGGGTTCAATCCTCAGCATCACATAAAATAAGATAAAGATATTGTGTCCATCTATAACTAAAAAATTAACATTAAAAAAAATAGTTCCTAGGGCAATGTTTCCCAAAACATCCTCACAATTTCTGACACTTCCAAGTATTCACTTAATAGTGTCTCGAATAGTTTAAAAAACTAAAATAAGTTGAAAAAGAGAACTCACATAAGCCACATTATCTGTATTACATCAGTTACATTTTAATATTTTAAACATATCTTTTTTTTTAAAGAGAGACAGAGAGAGAGAGAGAATTTTTTTTAATATTTATTTTTTAGTTATCGGCGGACACAACATCTTTGTTTGTATGTGGTGCTGAGGATCGAACCCCGGCCGCAGGCATGCCAGGCGAGCGGGCTACGGCTTGAGCCACATCCCTAGCCCCTTAAACATAACTAGCAAAAAGGATTTTTTTT